GCCCAGCAGTGGCTCACTCCTGTAATCCTAGTGCTTGGGGAGGCCAAGGTGGGAGGATTGCTTGAGGCCAGAAGTTCGAGGCTATAAGTATATCTCATATAATATTTTAAAGCTTTTTTCTTTCAAACCAAGAAGTGATATTTGATTAGAATTCTGCTGTTTTGCTGAGTTTCTCTTTTATTCCCTCTTTCTATTTTAAGGATATTAATACTGACAGTAATGGAATAATGATTACAATGGACATACAATATTGAAGTGCCTTGTCAATCAAAATGATAAAAAGACCAATCAGTAGTAATAGTAGGTTGCCCATTGAATTCTGTGTTAAAATGAAGTCCTGATATTTTCAAAAAGGTTATTAAATACTAATTTATACTTTAATTCTCATTATGAAAATTGAGTCTAATATTGAGATTATTTTAATAAATCAATTTATGTAAGTAATAACTTACTATAGCTTGTTATTTTTAAGGCTTGATTAATGAATGTTTGCCCTGACCTGGGGAAGTTTTCTGTCTCAAATATCTTTTTATTATAACTTCCCTTCCACCTTACCCTTGTGTGAAATTTGGTATTGTTTATTGTTAAGGGTAGCAGCCTCTAAGGAGTGGACACTGATAGTTAAACTAGGCTGATGACAAAGAAGAGCTTATGTGAAAATCTGTTAAATCTGTTTAAACCATGATTCCTGTTTAAAAAGGGATTAGGAGACTTCAGTCGCAGTGACTGTGATTTTAAAATGTTAATGAAAACTAGTATTCTTAAGCAGTAAATTTTGCTTTTTATTGGATGTTGATGTCACTTGTTTTTTTCATTTCTTTTCCACCCCCCCCCCTTTGGCATCACCTGGATTTCCTACATTTAGATTATGATATAACCTTTGATTATACCTTTGACTCTGGGTAACATTTAAGTTAATTTTGTCAGTGCTTCAAAGCATCTAACCAAAAACTTACAAACATTAAGAGAGTCGTGTGTAGATAAGAGATATTTTTAAAATTTTGCTGATGAACGAAAGCTGAAAAAGGTTAAAAAGGTCTTCAAGCCACTTAGGATTCAGGCCAAATCCAAGACTCCTCCTGGTATTCTTGTCACTAGACTGGACTGTGTAGTAAACATACATTTTTAAATCTAACATGAATGGATCACAACTGGGAACCAACACAGGAGTGATCCTATAGGCTCTGCCTATCTAAATTCTATTCTTTCAATAACCGAGTCCGGTGAGAACCTTGTCTCTTCTATTTGGAGCATGCCTTGATCACTGCTTCCCTGCTCCACACAGCTGGTCTCAACTGGCTCTCGTTGTCCTGACTTTTCAAAGTCACCCATTTGTTTTATGACCATTCTTTTTTACTTTGTATTTGTTATTTAACTACACATTACATCTTTCCTTTTGGATTGCTATTTCATTGTGGAAGGATCTTGCTCTCATTCACATGTGCTCTCCATTTCTCAGGAAGAAAGGTGACAAATACTTTATTAATTGAAGCAATAATTGGGAACATTAAAGTTATATGTAAATAGGCCAGACAGGGTGGCTCACGCCTATAATCCTAGCACTCTGGGAGGCTGAGGTGGGCGGATTGCTCGAGGTCAGGAGTTCAAAACCAGCCTGAGCAAGAGCGAGACCCCGTCTCTACTATAAATAGAAAGAAATTAATTGGCCAACTTATATATATAGAAAAAATTAGCCGAGCATGGTGGTGCATGCCTGTAGTCCCAGCTACTCGGGAGGCTGAGGCAGCAGGATTGCTTGAGCCCAGGAGTTTGAGGTTGCTGTGAGCTAAGCTGACGCCACAGCACTCACTCTAGCCTGGGCAACAGAGCGAGACTCTATCTCAAAAAAAAAAAAAAAAGTTGTATGTAAATAATTTTTCAACTAGTGCTTTGTCCTGCTTTCCTTTTTTTTTCTTTTTAAATAGGCTTTAAATAGAGGTGGGTTTTCATCACAGAATCAAACTACTGTAGGAAGGCAATCACACATACACAAACATCAAAACTATGAGTCACAGGAGTTCTTCATTGCAGTATGATGTAGATAGGGAAGACTTCCCCAGAATTGCAACTCACCTGGACCTTGAGGATAACAAATAATACAGTATATAAAGATGGAGAGGATGGGGAGGGCATTTCAAATGGAGACCAGGGAGAGCAGCTCATGGAGATGCAAAGGACCTAGAATGAGGCAAGTGGGGAGATCACCGTGGCAGACGGTGCCAGCCATACCTTTCTTCATAGGCTCTCTTCCTGAAAGCCAAGTCCACTGTGGACAAATTGCTTCTACTGCTTTACTGCCCTGCCAGTGGCAGTTTGGCTTCTCTTTTGGCTTTCCTGATGAAACACTTTTAAAGACCCTAAAGTTCTGAGTTATCTCTTACTAATAAATCCAGTGTGTATTTTTCAATATTCAACTTTTTATTTTTTTGAGACAGAATCTTGCTTTGTTGCCCAGGCTAGAGTGAGTGCCATGGCGTCAGCCTCGCTCACAGCAACCTCAAACTCCTGGGCTCAAGCAATCCTCCTGCCTCAGCCTCCCAAGTAGCTGGGACTACAGGCATGCGCCACCATGCCCGGCTAATTTTTTTCTCTCTATATATTAGTTGGCCAATTAATTTCTATTTTTATAGTAGAGATGGGGGTCTCGCTCAGGCTGGTTTCGAACTCCTGACCTTGAGCAATCCGCCCACCTCGGCCTCCCAGAGTGCTAGGATTACAGGTGTGAGCCACCGCACCCGGCCCAATATTCAACTTTTTAAGAATAAAATGTAATGAATATTTTCAAGATCCATAGATAATCTTTATATAAAAACCCATTTTTTGGTGGTAAGAACTTTTTTCCTTCCTAATTATATGCTTAGGCAGCTCACCTTTTATGCAAAGTATTCATTGAATTTACTTTTTAAGTAAGTATGAGTACTGGCATTGTTCCAGAGATGCTGTGCATTTGTAAACATGTGAGCATGGTGGTGGAGACAAGTCCCTACTCTCGTGGAATTACTTACCCTATAATGGAGGGGGAGACATAACTATGTTGCTGATTAACCCTATGTCAAAAAATAAAGCAGAGAAAGAGAGGTGTGTGTTTAACATCAGCAGCGCTCTGTACAGGGTCTTGTATTCTAGGTGTGTTTAAAGAAAAGGTAAGAGTCCTAGGACTGGAGCGGTTGAGCCTAAGGAGAAAATGGAAGAGAAGGGGAGTGGACAAGCTATATATAGGTAAGGGAGGACAGATTACAGACTCCCCAATTTATGATGGTTCATTTACAATTTTCCAACTTCACCGTGGGCTTACCAGGATTGCAACCCCATCGTAAAATCGAGGAATATCTGGATTTACAGTGGTTGATTTACAATTTTTTACTCTATGATTAGGATATTTTTTACTCTACGTTTATTAGGATATTAAATGCATTTTTTTTGTTTCAGCATGTTATGGGGATACAAATGTTAAGGTTACGTATATTGCCCATGCCCCCCTCCCCCCTCGAGTCAGAGCTTCAAGTGTGATCATCCCCCAAACGTTGCACATCTCGCTCATTATGTATGTATATACCCATCCCCTCCTTCCCCCTCCCATCTGCCTGACACCCGATAAATGTTATTCCTGTATGTCCACTTAGGTGTTGATCTATTAATACCAATTTGCTGGGGAGTACATGTGGTGCTTGTTTTTCCATTCTTGAGATACTTTGCTTAGTAGAACGGGTTCCAGCTCTATCCAGGTAAATACAAGAAGTGCTATATCACCATTGTTTCTTACAGCTGAGTAGTACTCCATGGTATACATATACCACATTTTATTAATCCACTCATGTATTGATGGGCACTCGGGTTGTTTCCACAACTTTGCAATTGTGAATTGTGCTGCTATAAACATTCAAGTGCAGGTGTCTTTTTCATAAAGTGACTTTTGATCTTTTGGGTAGATGTCCAGTAGTGGAATTGCTGGATCAAATGGTAGATCTACTTGTATCGCTTTAAGGTATCTCCATATTGCTTTCCACTGAGGTTGAACTAGTTTGCAGTGCCACCAGCAATGTAGGACTGTTCCTATCTCTCCGCATCCACACCAACATTTATTGTTTGGGGACTTTTTGATAAAGGCCATTAAATGCATTTTTGACTTACATTATTTTTGATCTAGGATGGATTTACTGGAATGTAACCCCATTGTAAGTAGAGGAGAATCTATACAGGAATCTAGCTCTTATTCTGGGTGGCTTTAGAAACCACTGGAGGATGTGAGAAGGGGTGTAGTGATCTGACTTGTATTTTAAAAAGATCACTTTGGTTGCTATACACACTGCATTGTTCATTGCTAGGTGAAGTGGGAAAAACATCTATATAGCATGCTTTTTTTTTTTTTTTTTTTGCAGGGAGTTATAAAAGTAGGAAGAGAGATGAAAGTGGTACTCAGGGAAAATACCAAAAAAAAATGTTGCATTTTTGGAATCCATTCAATGTGCTGTATCAACTCAATGAAGGAAGAAATTCTGTATGGTGAGGTGGGGATGTGAGGTGAGAGTGTAGATTTAGCTAGACTTTGAAGGATTGGTACAGAGGCAGAACATATTAAATTGGAAACATGCATTGAAAGGCCCAAAGGTAAGTGCCATTATGAGGTATGAGAGTGAGGTATTGATCTCCATCTTGAGACATTAAGAATTTTTACAATTTATCAAAGAAAACAAATTATCTTCTTGATTTGGTACAGTGAAGACATACTAATTAAATTTAATGAAGGAAAATATCAAATCTCATTATCATATTTCTTTTTATTACCAAGTAGGTAGAATACTTAAAATGCTGATTGGAAAAGGAAAAAAAAAACTTCCCTTAATTCTACCATCCAACACTAACAGTTAATATTTTGGTGCATGTTTTCTAGATATAAAAAACAGCTATCTACACATTTGGAATTTTATGAATTAGATCATATTAGAAAGTTACTTTAAAAATATATGTGCCTTATTTTCTGTGTTTTGTTTTTATTTTAGGAGAAAACCAAAAGCCAAGGCACCACCTCCTCCGGCTGAGAGCAAAAATGTTGATGTCTCTTCAGTTGCTGATTCTGTAGACTCTGCTGCTTTTATCATGGAACAGAAAGAAAACATGATAGACAAAGACATTGAACTCTCAGTGATTCTACCTGGGGATGTTATCAAATCTACTACTGTTCATGGCAGGTACGCTGGAGGAAATGAAATACCAGCACTTCCCTTTCTTATTGTACCATTGAAACCCTCTGTGGTTTATCTCTTGATATTTTTCTTTGATAAAATACTTTATCCATCACTCAGTTCAGTTACCTGTTTTTAAAACAATGCTAAAGTGTTAAAATTTTTCTGCTAATGGATTAATATCACCGCTGTGAATTCCACAAACCTAATTGACTCTTGAAATTTGCAATGATTTCATGTCTTGTTAGTTGTTTTTTTTTTTTTTTTTTTTTTTTTTTGAGACAGCGTCTCATTCTATTGCCAAGCTAGAGTGCGGTGGCATCATCATAGCTCACTGCAACCTCAAACTCCTGGGTACAAACCATTCTCCTGCCTCAGGCTCCTGAATAGCTGGGACTATAGGTGTGCATCGCCCGGCTAATTTTTCTATTCTTTGTAGAGCCGGGGTCTCCCTCTTGCTCAGGCTGGTCTCAAACTCAAGGCCTCAAGTGATCCTCCTGCCTTGGCCTCCCAGAGTGCTAGGATTACTGGCATGATCCACCACACCTGGCCTTTAATCAGTTTTAAAAAAATAAATTTCCCAGAGGAATGGTCATCAGTTGTATTGATTTTGTGAGCCAAGTTTACAAAGCAAGCCAGTTACCCACAAGAAAATCCTTTCCCCTCCTCCCCAAATTGTTTTTCCCAGTTTAAGCTGCAGCTTTGAATTTGATTTTGCAGAACTTATAAACTACTCTTAAAATAGAATACTTTCTTATTTATCAAAACAGTTAACTCTATAAAATTGACAGAATATTTTACTTTGTTGAAAGATTTAGTTGATGAAAACTGTAGATGAGTTAAATAGAAATGTAAAATCAAACTTCTTTTTTTTTAATTTTTACCAGCCAGGGTGGGAGAATAAAATTAAACTTTAATCCAGCAAGAAGGGAAGATATGCTTTAGGACACTGATATTTTTAAATACATTCATTAAAATTGGAAAATGGAACAAAGCCAAGTGTAATTTTCCATTCATTCTGAAGTGGAAAGTTACATGAACTGTATACTGGGTTTTGTTCCACCTTTCACCTTCAACTGCCCATTTGTTATCAGGAGTCCTGTTTTAGAAATTTAAGCTGTTCTGACCTCAGTTGTGTGTGTGTGTGTGTGTGTGTGTGTGTGTGTGTGTGTGTGTGTAAGGAAAACAAAGGAATAAGTAAGCAATATATTGGGTATCGCATTCTTATAATCCGTTTTAGTCTAGAAAAACTTATTCAAGATAACCTTAATTTTGAGATTTATCATCAAAATCATGTAACTTTACAAATTATTGAAAGATGAAAATAGTTCATCTCTTGCAAATAATACATATTATGCATTAAATTCTCCTCATTAAATTTGAGTAAGCTGCATTTTGCCATTTATTTTTTACTGAAAGTGGTTTAGAAGAGCACACATTGAACCCTGTTTATGAGATTGAGAACCCTGTGGCTGTCCATGGTGGGTTCCTACCTGCACCTGTGTTTTGCCTCTCCTGGGTGAGGAAGGCGTTTTTTTTGTTGTTGTTTTTATTCCCCCCTTCCATCATCTTGTATTTTTAAAGGGGAAGGGAAGATATTTTGAAAGTTAGAGACAGTGGCATCATCTTAAATAATATCTTAAAGTTCAAAATAAGTTCTTAAAATAATATCATTACTCTTGTTTTAAAATGATAATGGATGTGGCTGAGGGTAGTAAAGGCAATTCTTCTTATTTTCCCTGAATTTAAAGTCAGTTAAAAAAAAATACCAAGAATCAGCATTTTTCTTAGTTCTTCATGGTTGACACTGATTTCATCACAAATACTCCTCAAAATTTCTTCTCAGATGTACCAGTCATCTCTTCCTATTGCTGTCTTCTCTATTTCCCATCAGTCAGCCTCTGGGTTCTTTAGATTTTATTTTTGTACCTCTAATGACTTCAGTATCAGAATCATGGTTTTTCACTATCCTGTCACCCATCATAATTATTTTCGACTTTTCCATGTGCCACCCTGAGTTAACTTTTCTTCTGTTTCTTTTAACTCTGGAAACCTAGATCCATAGTCACTTTCCTCTGTCCACCAGGGAATTGTGAGATCTCATCATTCAAAATTGTTCCATTTCTCAGATCTTAGGGTTCCTTCTTTGAATAAAACCTTTTACACATACATCTAGCTTACCCACTTTTTCTTTCTTAAGTGAATTTGTTCTTCATCTTCCTTATTAAGTCTAATTTATGACTGCTATTTAGGTTACTGCATTTTTCTTCATGTCTAAATTTTCTTCACCTCTAATTTTTCTTTATACCTAAATGAGGGATTCTACATTAGACATTTCTCCTACATTTTATTTATAAGGACCCTAGATTTTTCTTACCCTCCTGACCTTCCAGCATGTTTACTTGACAGGTCCCTAAACCTGAGTAATTTCCCTTCAATCAGCTTTTTGTTTCTGGGCCCCAGTTGTTGCTGAATTGCTGCAATTTTCTTATCTATGAAAATGTATTATAGCTGAATCATTGAGATTAAATAAGATATCATATATTGCTAGGATTAAATACTATCAGTGCCTGGCACATACTGACTTCATCCATTTTTTACTGGGAACTGCTTTTCTTAACCTTGGGCTCTCTCCATTTGCCTTACTCCTTCAGATTAGTCTGGCTAAAATACTTCTCCATTTGTTCCACTACCTTTGAGAAAAGACTGCAGGGACAGCAATTTAATACCAAATTAAAGATGTCCAAATTACCAATCCTGGAGATTGGGACACCTATTTTCTTCTCAACTGAAATTAAGTAGGCATTTCTGTCACTGCTCTCTTTTATGTATCTTAAGCTTCACTGTGTGACGACTTCTACAGATATCCTACTTCACTACATGAATGACTTCTTCTACAGATATTCTACTTCCTTCACTGACTGCCATACCTTTATAAACATTCCTCTCAACCCCCTCATAACTTATCACCCTCATTTTCTTCAGTTAGCTTATGTGGCTCATTCTTATCTCTCTCTTTTTTTTTTTTTTTTTTTTTTTTTGAGACAGAGTCTCACTCTGTTGCCTGGGCTAGAGTGCTGTGGCATCAGCCTAGCTCACAGCAACCTCAAACTTCTGGGTTCAAGCGATCCTTCTGCCTTAGCCTCCCGTGTAGCTGGGACTACAGGCATGCACCACCATGCCTGGCTAATTTTTTCTATATATTTTTAGTTGGCCAATTAATTTCTTTCTATTTTTAGTAGAGTTGGGGTCTCACTCTTGATCAGGCTGGTTTCCAACTCCTGACCTTGAGCAATCCTCCCTCCTCGGTCTCCCAGAGTGCTAGGATTACAGGCATGAGCCACTGTGCACAGCCAGGAAAAGTTAATTTTTAATAAAAATGAGCTTATAGCCTAAACTGTAATACACAACCTCATAAAGTAAGGAACTATGTGGGTACATTTGTGTATCATTCTAGGTCCTTATCTTACAGTCAGGTGTCTGTTTAGTAGGTAATTATTTGTACTAAAGAAGTTTTAGTTCTTTTCTCCTCTTTTCTCTAGAATATACTTTCAAAGCACAATGTTCAATTTGGGAAATTTGATAAAAGATTGACATTAATTGTTAGTGAATAGGGACAGTGATTTATGGCTATACTACCACATTTTTCTCTCCTACAAGAGGGAGGAAGGAATAATCACTAAAACAAGAAGAGGATATTTCTCTTTTATATCCTTATTATAAATAGGAATTTGTTCTGATTTGAGCAAATCTGAGGGTGCTGTGAATGAAAACACAAAAAAGGCACAGGACTTGAAGCTAGAAGTCTCAATTAGAAGTTACAGTTTGTTCCAAACTTGCTGTGTGATCTCAAGCAAGTCATCTCACCTCTCTGGGCTTTTCCTGTAAAATGACCCAAAGACATGTTGCATGTGATTTGTGGGCTGATTTGCTCTCTGGTAGCACTAGTTTATAGCAGAGTTGAGAGTAAACCCATGGTTTTGATTGATGCGGGGTGGGTCAGCTATGAAACTCGGAAACATTTTACATGGAGTACAGCACCACCTATTGGAAAAAGTAGACTATGAAAAATGACCAGATAAAGCTGGATCAAAGGGCATCATTTTTGTTAAATAAAAACAAACCAAAAAACCCAAAATAAGACAGTAACACAATAGTATAAATCTCCGAAGCATTTCTGAAGTTCACATATTTACATTTATTGAAAGGTGTCAAGTGACGCCAAATGTGGTATATACATGCATAATCGGCTCTTTAATTTCCAAAAGAAATGCTGCTAAAAATCTATAGCATGACTCAAATTATGTTTAAACTCTACAAAACTTAAATTTTGGTTTAAATCCTATTCAGCTGTAGCTGCTTCAAACGAAAGTTGGAATTTTAACGGTTAAAGTATTTAAGTGTAACAGTACTGCTTGAGTGTTTAATTGTGGGACTAGAAAATCCTGTACTCTAGGTTCTGGTACTGCCCTCTGTCCCCTACAACCTGTGGTGGCTGACTGCTCTCCTGGTTTAGAAAAGGGTGACAGAGAACTCACAAATGTTCTTTGAACCTTTGAAAACGTTGTTCCTGGGAGTTCAGGAATGCTCTTCCCTTGCTTTCCTGGCAGCTACATTTTGTAACAATGATCCTTTTAATTTTAATTTTTTTCTGATTACAAATGCAACAATTGGGCATATTAGCAAGTTGAAAAATACAGATAAGCCAAAAAATTTAAACATGATGTCATTATTAAGCAGGCAGATTATAACTTTTAAGATTGTGGTATTTAACCTTCTATTCACATACATGCACATATATGTACACATATCCTTTATATATATGCTGTTCTTTTGCACCAATATGGCATTATATTGTACATGCTGTTTTGTAATCTGCTTTTTTTTAGTTATTTCCAACTTTCATGTCAATAAAATTTAATCCTTTGTCCATATTCAAATTGCCCCAATTATAGTGAGATATATTTGTAGTTTTGTTTTCATAAGGAATCTGTATGTTTGTTTAG